GCCCGCCGCCCGCTGGCGACCCCCCCCCCCCGCATGCGCGCCGAACTCCTGAACTTGCCGCGGAGGGGGCGGCATCGCCGCATGACCTCGCGGCCGCAGGCAGACATGTTGGCCAACGCCGCGCCCTTGCCATCGTTGACGACAAGCCCGTCTGCCGTCAGGGCGCCTCGAACCCGTCTGTAGGCCGAGCTGACGTTCGCCGCCGCCTGCCTGGGATGCCCGACCATGCCGGGCTGGATGTCGTCCACGGTGTTCCCAAGGTCCACTGTGCTGATGGCCGCTATCTCGTCGAGCCGCGGCACGAGGATGATGCGCATGCAGAGGTCCGCGAGGCTGCAGCCTGCCACCACGCCCCGCCGCGGGACGCAGCAGCCCATCGCCGCGCATGCCACGGTGACGAGCCTCGGCAAGGCGTAGAGCCTGATGCGCAGCCGCATCAGCATCGTATCCAAGCCCAATGCGCGGGCTCGGACGACCAGCAGCGCCCGCGGGATGTGCTCGTACGCCTTGGAGAGGTCCATAAGCACGGAGCAGGCCGCCTGCTTGCGGTGAATCGCGACCTCAGCGTTGGCCGCCTGGATCCACGCGCACGTCTCGCAGCTGCGCCCCGACGTGCCGTGGATGTAGCCCCGCTGGCGGGTGCTGGCCCAGCGAGCGCCGACTGTGCCGCGCGTCCAGCGTGCGAAAGGGCGCAGCACCCCAGCGAAGAGCCCGATGGTGCGGACGCCCGACTCGACCTCCGGAATGAGCGCCATCTACAGCACCGCCAGCGTCTTGGGCACGTAGCCAAGGATCAGCATGTGCCTCCAGACGGTGGCGAAGGCCTCCAGCGCGCCGTCGGACAGGAAGGTGACGTGTCGAGTGTGGAAGGCGTCGCCTCCCAACCCCGTGACGCGCGGGAAGGAGTGGCCCACCTTGAGCAGCTCGTCGGGCGTCGGCAGCGGAGGGCCGTTGCCCAACTCCGCTGGCCATCTGACCGCGTCCAGCGCAGCGCCCTCACCCCACTGGGCGTGCCATGGGCGGACGGCCGCGTTGGCCGCCTCCTGCGCGGTCTGCAGGCCCACAGCAGGCGACCAACGGGCAGCCGCCCATGGTGCAGGCTCGCGGATCCAGCGGAACGCCCTGTGCAAGCCATCGGCGGCCGTGGCGTCGCGCGCTCAGTCGAGCCAGGACCTGTAGCGCCTGTATGGCGCACGCTCTGCCGCCGCCAAGGCCTGGCGTCGAAGCAAGGCCAGCAGCTCATCGCATTCATCATCAGGAAGACGGCGCATACGCCTCGCCATCCGCCGCCAGGTGTGCCACACCGCAGGCTCGCCGCCAGGGGCGGGCGGCGAAGCGCAGGAGCTTCACCTGCAGGCGCCGCGCATGGGCGGCCTGCCCCGCCGCCTGCAGCAGCCGCCACTCCTGCGCCCGATCGCCCAGCCAGCCCCAATGTGCATCCGAGAGATCTGGCTTAGCCGTGGGCTGCCAGCTGCTGGAGCGGTGGCGGTCCAGCTGGGTCTGGGCCAGGCGCGAGCCCTCGCTCCTGCCGCAGAACCTGCTTGCCTCGCGGGTGCCCTCCAGGTCGAAGTGCCGCAGCTGCTCGCCCTCGCATGTGTCCAGGGCCCTGTCGCAAGCTGCCTCCAAGCCCGCTGCCGTGGTCACCGTGGCCAGGGCGACGTGGGCGTCGGTCCGGTCAGGTCCTGGAAGTCGAGGCCCAATCAAGGCCTGGGCTGGGAAAGTACGGGCCTTATGCGCCCGCGCCGCCAGGCCGCCTGGCTTCGGCGGAGCCAGCTTCAGCAAGACCGCGCGGTGCGTCCGCGCGTCGAAGCGATCGCATCGGCCGGTGCCCTTGATGGGCGCGTCCGCGCCCGCGCAGAAGTAGTCCAGCCCCTCGCAGATGTCGCCGCGATGCGCGCGGCCTCCCCCGAGCAAGCCAGGCGCGCGCCGAACGCGGGGGGCAGGTGAGCCTCGTCCACGACCTCGGGCAGCATGTTCCAGTCGGCCCCCACGACAAACGGGCGGTGCATTGCCCTGACGATGGAGCCCATATTGGTAAGCAAGTCCAGGTTCAAGTCGCCCAGGTCCTGGTTGGCGTGGAAATGCGCCGAGATCAGCAAGGTGCCCGCAGTCGAACCCAACGATGGCATCCAAAAACCTAAACGAGCAGAACATGGAACCGAAATGCAGTCATCGCTGAACTCGACGCGCCTCATGCGCACCCACGGGCGCACCAAAATCGCAACTCCTGAGGAAGCTCCGCCTTTGTCCGTCGCAATCGCAGGGGCGAGGTCGGCCACCCAGCCCGCTCGCTTGGCTGCTCGAACGGCTGCTGCCAGCCGTAGGTCGCCAAACAGGCGACGCTCCTGGATGAGGATGGCCTGGGCCTCGTCGTCGACGCTGCCTTGCTCCAACTGTTCCGAGCAGGGGCCCAGCCCGTGACGTTCGCCGTCGTGGCGGCCAGGGTGTCGCCATCGCCCTTGTAGCTGCGCGGCCGCATTGATGCCGACTGCCTCGGCTCGGCGACCGACGCTGCTGGGCAGTCGGGCCCGCGCCTCGCGCAGAGGGGCCCGCCGACCGACGGGCCCGCGCCTCCCGCAGGGGGGGGGGGGGGGGGGGGGGGGCGCGCCGTCACCCGCAGCAGTGGCCCTCTCTGGGCAGTCGGGCCCACGCCTCACGTAGAGGGGCGCGCCGACCGACGGGCCCGCACCTCCTGCAGGGGGGGGCGCGCCGTCACCCAGGGGGGGCCGAGGGCCCAGCGCAGCGCCCAGCCGCATGCGCTCCCTGCCCATTATCTCCCTTTGGGAGGCCGACCCCCCGAGGCGGCTCGACCACCGAAGAGGGCCGCGCGCTGTGGGGGCCCCGAGCCAGCTCGACCTCCGAAGAGGGCAGCGCGCTGCGAGGATGAGAAGGCGGGCGGGGGTCTGCGCAAGCAGATGCCGACGAGCAGGTCGTCGGCACAGAAGAGTTCGCACATGGCCCTGACTCTCTTCGTTGCCACCCTCGCAGCGGCCTCAGGCGAGGAGGCCCGAGGGGGGGCGATCTCGTGGTAGATGGCCAGTCAGCGTCGTAGCACTCCCCTGCGCAGCCGAAAGCCGACATGTCGCCGTAATTGAAGTCGTCGTTGCAGCTGGTCTCGCGCCCCCCGTCCAACCAGTAGTAATTCATGTGATTGGAGCCGCGGCCGTCGTCCAGGTACTCCATCTCCCTGACCATGTCCGCCGCGTTCTTCGCGATGAGCATGGCAAGCGCCGCCGCCCGACGACGAAGGCCTCGCGTCCGAGGCCCTTGGCGCCAGCCGCGGGAGTGCCCGCCTGGCCTGGCGGCCCGCCCGCGGCCATCCCCGCTGCTGCCAGGCGAGCTCGGCCCTGCTCCATGGCGTGTGGGGCGGGCGTGGGCGTGGAGGCCGCGCTGGGGGCCGACTGCGCTGCCGACGCGGGCGCCGGGGGCGTCGCGGCGGCGGCGGGCGGGGGTGCCCGCGCCGCCGCAGGGGGCCGCTCAGGGGCCGTCTCCCGCGCCGCCGCTGCAGGTGCCCGCTCAGCAGCAGCGCCTCCGTCCTCGGTGGCCTCCGCGGCCCTGCGCTTCTTCGTCCAGAGGCGGTCCCGCTGCGCACGGTGCGCCTCCTCAAGCTCCTGGACGGAGGCCTTGAACTGGCCGAAGGCCTCCCGCGCCATGCTGCCGAACTTGTCCTGCAGCTCTTGTCGGCGTCGCTGGGTTTCATGGCGGTCGCTCTCCTCGACCTCGAAGCCGTCCAGCTCCTCCAGGCCGAAGAGGCCCTCGTCGTCCAGCGTCCAAGCCGTCTCGCCAGCCAGGATAGCGGAGATGCCGAGACGCGGCGCGGCGGCCGCGTCGGGCGAGGGCTGGGGCACCACAGTCGTCGCCAGCGCCTGCATTGCAGCCGTGTGCGCCTGGGTGGCGCGATCGAGGACCTCGGAGCGCTCGCCCACGCGCGCCTTGGCCTCGTCCAGCCGCCACTGCAGCTCCTCAGCCTCCAGCGTGGCCTCCTGGAGCGCCTCCGCCGCTGCCTCCTTGGCCTTGCAGGCCTCGTCCACGGACATGGGCCTGGTCACTCGTTGAGCCCTGGCATCGTCCAGCTTCGCCTGGTACTTGGCAACCTCTGGCCCGTCGCCGCTGAGGCGGAGCAGCTCCAACAGCTGGACGAGCTTGGACTCCTCTGGGCCCTCATCCGCTGGCACGAGGGCGAGGGCGCTGGAGAAGCGCACTCGTCAGCTGCCAGCGCCTCGGCTCCCTGACGCCGCGCGTGCGCTGGCAGAGGCACCGCCTGTCGCCTCGCGCCAGGGTGGGCAGCCACGGCCGCCGTCACGGTCGCGGCTCGAGGGCGCCTGTGGTCGCGAGGCGCGCCGCCACCGCCACCACCAGCAGGGCGAGCCTGGACGAAAACCAGCGGCCTCTTGCAGTGGCAGCACCAAGTCCACCATTCTTCGTTCTCGCGGCAACCGCAATGCTGGCACGCCATGGGACGAGGCGCGCCCCCGGGCCCCGCCTGTGCCCCTGCTGCAGTCATGCATCGGCGGCGCGCTGCCGTGGTGCTCGGCGAGGCGCGCGACGTCGCGCTGGTGTTGGAGCCGCCCCCGCGCCTGCGAACGCAGACAGCGCAAGCGACGGTGCCACGCTGGCGACCTCGACCGCCCCCTGCAATCGGAAGCCGCCGTCGGTCGCGCCCGCCCTTCGGGCGGCACTGAGGGCTATCGCGCGTGGGCCCCCCGTGCCCGCCGCGGGGCAAGACGGCTATGGCCCGCCGCGAGCCACCTGGAGGAGGAGGAGCAGCAGCAGCAGGAGGAGGAGGAGGAGGAGGAGGAGGAGGAGGGGGAGAAGGAGGAGGAGGAGGAAGGAGGAAGAGGAGGAGGAGGAGGGGGAGGAGGAGCAGAAGCAGGAGAAGGAGGAGGAGGAGGAGGAGGAGGAGGAGGAGGAGGAGGAGGAGGGGGAGGGGGAGGATGAGCAGGAGGAGGAGCAGGAGGAGGAGGAGGAGGAGGAGGAGGAGGAGGAGGAGGAGGAGGAGCCTCCCGCGCGCCGCCGCCTTCCGGGCCTCCGCCTCGCGGATTGCCCGCGCGGCATCGAGCACGTCGTCGTCGGCCCCGTGGGCGCCCGCCTCCGCGATGGCCACGCCGAGCCTCAGCCGACGATCCTCGGAACGGGTCTTAACGTTAGGTCGGGCCTGTCCCCCTACAGGCCGATGGCCGAGGAAATCTTAGAACACAGTCGAATAATCTACAACAGTTACAAAAAAAAAGCAACATACAAACAGTAGTCCCCGAACTATTTTTAAACTACTGTTGAACATTCCTCCCGTAGAAGGACAGGCCCGACATAATGTTAACGCCAGCGTGTGTCTGCCCATCGAAGCCCTTCGATACGACGCAGGCGATGCGATGCTCTACCGGCTGGGCTGAACATGATAAACACACACTTTGGGCTACCACACGCGTCCTCTGAGGATCATCGGCTCACCTGCCCCGACATCATTTTGCACCGACCTGGCAGACGTGCTGCAGCGGATTTCCGCGTGGATCTCTGCCAATGCAGAACCCCGAAGCGGCGAGCGAAAAGCGAAGTGACTTTCACGTGGATTAGGTATGGTTGGTAGTCTTAATTCCTGGCCCAACAAGACCCGCATGACATTCACTTTGAAATCCGGAACGAGATTCTCCAGGACTATCTGGGTCCATCCCAGTGTTTGCCGAGCGAAATCTGCTCTGCGATGTTGGTGCCACGACCGATAAGCAACAAGCAACAAACATCGTGTTGTTACCCACGACCCCCGCGGGTTACTACGAAAATATAAGGACGGGATTTGTCGCCGCTGCTTTCGGACTCTGGGGGCCCTGACCGGCCCTCGGGACCGTCCACGAAACGACTCAGGACGAAACACCGGTCCCGGGGAATGGGTCCAAACCGCTGGGGGTCCACGTCATGAAGAACTCATGACGTCGGGGGTCCGGGTACGGATCGCACCGCGCAGACCGAAGACTATAGGCCTGGCGCGATGCGCTCGCCAGACCCTGGCGCCGCACGCCAACAAACCCGGTGCGGTGCTGCGTCTCGGCGCGGGCGCGCCGGGGCGGCTGGGCGCCGAGCTCGTCGGGGTCGCGGCGCCCCATCGCCTCCAGCAGCGCCGCGTGCTTCTGCTCCCTGGCCTTCTCCCGGACCAGCAGGCCCCGCGCCTCGGCGAGGGCGGGCTCCTCGAGCCCGCTCGCCGCGCCCTCGGCGATCGCGGCGGCCAGCGCGGCGGCGCCGCGCTGCTCCCGCGCCGCCCGGAGGCCCGCGCGGGCCAGGGCCCGGCGCTCCTCTGGGCCCAGCCGCGCCCGCACCTCGGCGACGTCCTCCTCCGAGAGGCCCTGCCGCTGCGCCTCCAGCAGCAGCCGCAGCAGCGCCTGCTCGTCGCGCTCCTGCGCCGCCGCGCCGAGGCCCGCCCTCGCCCGCTCCTGCTCGCCATCGCTCGGACGTCCATTTCCCGTGCATTTTTCGGTTTCGTGCGTGTCTTTTTGGCTCGATGGTCCAGGATCGTCCTCAATGGTCCTCGCCGGGAAAAAAATGCACAAGTCCAAGCGATGCCAAGTCCTTCATCTGCTCCACCCTGAGGACGGCCTCGGCGGCCTGCACCTCGGGGGCGTCGAAGCTCGTCGCCCGGCACTCGGAGAGCGCCGCGCAGAGGCAGGCGATGTCGCGGCTGGCGACGGCCTCCTCCAGGGTCTCCTTCATCTCCTTCCAGCGCTGCTCCTTGGCCTCGATGCCCCGCAGCGCGCCCAGGGCCTCCTGCAGGTGCACGTCGCTCAGCCCGACCGCCCTCGCGCGCGCGACCGCCTCGAGCAGGGCCTCCTTGCTGCCGCTGCGGACGGCCGCGTCCACCTGCTCCTTCTCGCCAAGCGTGCCGAGCTCGAGAGCCAGGGCCCGCTCCGCCTCCGCCACGAGCTGGGCACCCGCGGAGTCCTCGCAGGCACCCACCGCGCGGCACTCCGCGAGGGCGCAGCGGAGCGCGCGGTGCTGCCGGCCCATGATGGCCTTAGGTCGGGCCTGCCCCCCTACAGGCGGATTCTGGGCGACAGTTGAAAAATAGTCCCAACATGCACCGCACATCCTCCCAAATTGTCAAACAATCGCCCCCGTGCACAATTTTTGGACTATTTTTGGAGGCTCCTCCTGTGGATGGGACATGCCCGACTTCAGGATGGCCTGCTGCAGGCCCCGCACGGCGGCCGCCTTGCGCTGCTCTGCGCCGAGCCGCAGCTTGACCTCGCGGAGCTCCGCCTCCCCCAGCCCCGCGCTGCGTCCGTCGGCCAGGGCGTCGGCCAGGGCCGACACGTCCTCGCTCTGGAGCGCGCGGTCGAGGGCGTCCCGCGCAGCATCCCTGCGCCGGAGGCTGGCGAGGGCGCCCTCCGCCTCGGCCACGAGCGAAGGCTCCACGTCCCACTCCGCTCCCTCGGCGATGGCCACGTGGAGCAGCCGCGCGTCGTCGCTGCGGATGGCCTCCTGGACGCTTGCGATGACGGCCGCCTTCCGGTCCGTCTGCGCCAGCGCAGCCCTCGCCCTCCGCAGGAGGGACTGGTCGACACCGAGGCTGTCTGGGGTCTGCAGCCCCTCGGCCTGCGAGATCGCCGCGCGGAGCGCGGCCGGATTCTGCTCCCTCGCGGCAGAGTTCAGCAGGTCCTCGCACTGCTCTCTCTCTCGGACGAGCCCGTGCTGCTCCAGCTCCAGGCGCCTCTTCGCCCGCGCGACCTCCTCCTCGGGCACTCCGACCTCCTCCGCAAGCTCGACGGCATCCTGAATCCTCTGGACGCGAACCGCCCTCCCGCCCTCCGGGGAGCCCTCGCCCCCCATCGCTCTCTGGAGGGCCGCCACCGCGTCGTGGACCTGCCTGGCCCTGTCGGCGCGGGCCGAGAAGCCCTCGAGCTCCGCGATGTCCAGGCCCGCCTCCACGCCCTCTGCCATGGCCGTCTGGAAGGCCGCGGACTCGACGGGATTGTCGACGGTCTCCTAGAAAGGAGGTGAAGGAGGGGGAAGGAGGAGGAGGAGGAGGAGGAGGAGGAGGAGGAGGAGGAGGAGGAGGAGGA